GGCGGCCGCGGCGTGGCCGCTGCTGCTGCTGGCGCTGCTGCTGGGCGAGCCGGGCGCGCGGGCGCTCGTGTGCCTGCCCTGCGACGAGTCCAAGTGCGAGGAGCCCAAGAGCTGCCCCGGCAGCATCGTGCTGGGCATCTGCGGCTGCTGCTTCATGTGCGCGCGGCAGCGCAACGAGAGCTGCGGCGGCGTCTACGGGCTGCACGGCGCCTGCGACCGCGGGCTGCGCTGTGTCATCCGCCCGCCGCTCAACGGCGACTCCATCACCGAGTACGAAGTGGGCGTCTGCGAAGGTGAGCGCGGACGGGACGGCACGGGACGGGGCGGGGGGCGCGGGGTATCCCGCCTCCCGCGGGCGCTCTCCGCGCGCCGCCGCCGGGAGCAGGGAGCGCGGCGGGAAGGGAAGGCACCCGGTGCCCCGCGCGCTCCGGAGCGGAGCGGCTGCTGCTCCGGGAGCTGCTCCGGGAGAAGTTCCCCGCGGGGCTGGCCCGGCCGCTGCTCCGCCAGCCTCGCCCTCCGCAGCGGCCCCCGCGCGCGGCTCGGGCCGGCTGCTCCCTGCGCAGCATCGCGAGCCGGGCCGGGGCCGTCCCGGCGTCAGGAATCGCGGCGGGAGCCGGAGCCGTGCCGGGTCACGGCCGCTCCTGCCGCCCCGCGGGACGGGATGAGCCGGAGCGGACGCAGGAGCCCGCGGTGGCGGCGCCGCGTTTGCCCTGCCCGCTCCCAGCGTCGCAGCTAGCGGAGTTCCCAAGTTTGTGCCCTTTTCCTTTTTCCTTCTTTTATTTTTTTTTATATGTTATTTGCGAAACAACCAAACATAAATATTTTAGTCCCTCTTGTCTTTTCCCTCCGCTGCTTTCGCTGCTTTTTTTTTTTTTTTTTTTTCCTCTTTTCTTTTTCTTTCCCCCCCGCCCCAAGTCAGGGGGGAAAACATGGCGCTGTGAAGAGATTGCAAATAACCGGTAGTTGGGAATATGTGTAAAATGTATGTGAGGCTCCGGAGCGCGAGCTCGGACAGTTCTGGAAAGTAACCGCAAACCTTCCGTCCTGGCGGGTAGAGGGCAGCAGAAAGTCCGGAGAGCTGCCGAGGCAGCATCTGTCCAGAAACTGGCGTTAGAAACCTACAGTTTTGAGGGGACTTACAAACTCTTCCCCTTCCTCTCTCTATCTTGTTTTATTTATTTTATTTATTTTTTTTTCTTAGTGGGGGGCTGACCTTTTTTTCTGGCGCTAGTTCCTAGTGTAGAGGGCTGCTCACTGGGTGCACAAGTAAATTGCAAACCGCAGCATAACTGTAAATGACAGGCCAGGGTATTCTGTGTGGACCAGAACAAATATCATCAGCTTCGCTGCAATTGTTGCTTGGGTAGGGCCGGCTTTAGGAGCAGACTCTGTTTTTAGTGGGTAAAAATGGTGCTAAACTGCTTCCAAAGGCTCGATTGACTCTGTGTTGCTGAATATATGCATTGCCGTGGTCTGGTTTGTGTGTGCAAATTTCTCTACTTGCGTTTTTCCTGTTTGAGGAAAAAAAGATACTCTAAAGATTCAGCCTAGTTTTTCTTGGCTGTTTTTAACTGCCTTTTACTTCCTTTTTTTATTCTTTATTTATTTTTTATTATTAAAGGATCTAAAAGCCCCCAGTCATTAAATGTCTTGATGTTCCCACTCCCTTACTGTATCACAGGACGGACATCTCTGGCAGTGTAGGAGCATTTCATTCCTTTGAAGTGATGCAATCTGTACGTTGCTGTAGTTCAACTCATAACATGTCCCATATACTGTTGAAAATAGTACGAAGCATTTGCTGGCAAGATTGCGTTTCAATTACTGTTGTGGTTAGAAACTAGTTCCAGCTGTCTCTATAGTAATAGTCAGGGAGATAAGTTATCTATTTAATTTTCTTTCTCTTAAATGAAAGAAGCAATTGAGCTGAACTGTCAGCTTAATAAATGTTACTGGGATACATATAACTAAATTGTCTAAATTGTCAGGAAACTGCCTCATGCTAAGCAACAGCAATACAATAGTAATGTGGTGAACCAGTCTTGTTCTCTGTAGCGCATGTTGTGCATGAGGGAGGCACCAAGAGGAAAAAGAGGCTCTAACATCAGGTCACTGGGGCCGATGAGCCTTTTTCTTAATTACTGTTTCAATGAGACCTAAAGAATTGTGTAGTTTACAGGTGCACATGGAATGGACCTCAGATGTAGTCTGGTGTTGATGGTTCTGAACATGGATTTCTTTTATGTGTTAGCAGAATAAAGACTTTTCTTTAAATTTTGTGTTACTTGGGAATTAAAACACTTTCTTGCCCCTGTGTTGAGGATGGGGGAAATGAAAGTGTCTTACAGAACTGCGTGGATAGAAACTGATGTTTTGACTCTGCTGTCTCCAGCCTCTCCTTTCACTGCAATTTTTTACACTGAAATGACCCCTACTGGCTACAGTTATAAACTTTTTTTTTTTTTTTTTTAAAGCTTCAGCAAGTGTCTTAGCCTGTGTATGAACATGTACTTTGCTGTGGAAAACTTCATTTATTTTAAGAGCTGTAATTATAGCAGGTAAAAATACTTGCTATTGTTATTTCAAATGATAATGCTAACACGCTGCTCATAGCAGAACTCTGACGCTTGAAGTAGAAACTTGTGGCATCTGTCAGTGGTACCCCGTCTCTTTGAAACTAGACTATATTCTTTATAAAACCATTTTTTATTGGTAACTGGTACTAATTCTAGGTTTTTCCCTTCCTTCTTTTAAAATCTGAAGGAAATCCTCGCCTATCTTAACACTTCAACTACTTGGGTCTTTATGCACTTCTAAGACTCATTTTTTGGCGTTTTGCCATTGTATGTGAAATGTCCTTCTCGAGTGCACTGGATAGCTGTATTCTTGGTGAAGAAAAACTAAGTCGGCCAATCCAGACCTGGATGAGTAATTTATCTGTAGGGTGATCCTGTGGTGTTCCTGTGTTGGAACACTTCCAACTTCTATTGACTTTACCGGGAGTTTGTTGGATAAAGTTAAGGTACCTGTGGCTATAGCAGACATACTGTCTTCAAGCTCAGAACTTAAAAGCTCAAGTGAAAGGCCACCCTAGCTTGGTCTTTGAACTTGGTCTGAGAGCCACCTCTTGGATACAGTGGAGATCTCCAGAGCTCGTGAACCTCGATCCCCATAGTGTGGCTGTGCAGAGCTCCTCCTTTCCAGATGATGGAAAAGTTTTGGGAAAATTGAGCAGAGAAGGCTGGGCTTCTCTGTCACGGTATTTCTTGTGATGAGGACTTTCTTGTCTGTTTTGGCACTTTGTCAAGTTCTGGTGCTCTTGGATGGAAGCACATCCATTGCTTTGCTGAGCTGGTGTGAAAGAGCAATAGTCATAACAGAGCCTGGGGATCTCGTCTGATCCCTTGTTGGGAGGAGTCGGCAGAGCTTGGTGTTGGTAGCTGTGGGCGGGTGTTTTTTGGTGTGACTTCTTGTTGTTGTTATCTTGTGGCTTCCCTTCCTTCCCCACCATGCAATTTAAGCTTACTCTAGGCTATACTTTTTCCCTAGAAACCTGCAAGGACAGAGACTGCTGTGTTTAAGAGCAGTGAGCTTGAAACTGTTGAGAGGAAACAGAGCTGTGAAAACAGGTTGTCCTGTGTGCTGTACCGAGGGGACAAGCGGAGCCAGAGTCCAGAACATCACGTTTCGTCTCCAAGCTCTTGTACAGTGCACATGGCTCTCTTGCCCATTGTACGGGCAAGTCCCTTAAACATTAAACGGTGTTTTACTTTGACTACAAATTACTGAAGCTCTTTTAATTTAGAAAAATAAACTAATAATGATTTAATCTAATTGACTATTCCCAAAGTTACTTTTTTTGTTACTCTGTTATGCAGTGAATGGCTTGGGAGGTATTACCCAAAAGGTTTTAATGCCTAAGTATGTGGGGAGGACACATTCCATTGACATCAAGTGATAATTCCCAGACTAGATCCTTGATTTTAATCAGCATGAAATGTTGGTATGGAGACAGTTAAAATGCGTGGTTCAAAGCCTGACAGCAATCCTGTTGCAGAGGGAAAAGAAACAAACAAACAAAACCCACAGAACTTATGGAGGCCCAAAACTGAGTTGCTCATAGTTTGGGCTCCATAGTTCATAAGCTTTCTGTGTGCTGGTGTGTGTTGGTGCTGAAGTCTCAGTCAACCTCAATCAGAAAGTGTAAATTCAAGGTGAAGGGCATGGGATATGAATTAGATCAGGTACTGGCTGTGTGAGTGGGAAGTGGTTTCCTCTTTCTGGGCATTGCATTCTGACTTTTAAGCTTCCCTTGTTTGGCTCCGATATTTCAGCAAAAATGAAATGAAAAAGTTCAAAAGGTATGAGCAGGGATAGTGATGCAGAACTTGGCAGGTTTCTGTTGATGTGGATGAGTACAGTTAGTTTTAAGCTAAAAATCACACTGTGAACAGGCTGATGACTAAACTTTTTAACTTGTGTATGGCAAGACTTGGCTTTTGTGGTATTCTGCAAATTTGAGAAATGTGTTCTGGTGCTACTTTTTTAAAAAAAATCCATTTCACTTTACTTGACCATTCATCAGGCATCCTCTGCTGCTGTCAAAATTTTACACAGAGAAAATGGCTGTTTCTTGAGCTTCCTAAAAATCCTACTACATGTAAAAACATATGTGTGTGTGTTTTTAATTACCTTCAGGCTTGGCAGATACTTTGGCTAGAACTAGTGCAATAATTAGTTGAGTAACTTCTGCACCCTGAGACATGTTTTCTGCTTTAAATACCCTCTAGCTAATTCAAGAGTACTTGCATGATTTAACTTTTTGCATAATATTTTGCTTAACCCAAATTCCATTTGAATCACAGTCATATTATGCAATAATTAATGCATTAGTATGATTCAAGCATGCCTGCTTTTTCCTCTTCCTCTCCTTTTTTGGGAGGCTTCTTTCCTCTCCTGAATTTTCCCAAAGAATAAAGTTCATCCTTTATTTTTCTTGCAGAAAGACCAAGTCCTTCTGTGTCAACTCACTATTTACTCTGTAAAAGTGACCTATTATGTATGTATTGACTTGTAAATACTTGTATTTAACTCACAAAGTAAGTAAACATGGAAATGGTAAACTCAGAGTTTTGATTAAGATATCTTGTGACACTATTTGCAGTCTTATGTTTTAGCTCTGTCTTTTGCTGTGTGTACACATGTATAGGATTTAAAAAATGGCTAGTACTGACATCTAAAGCTTATCTATAGGAAGAAATTTACCAATATAAGCTATGATGGTATCTAAGTC